TTTTTTTTTTTTTTTTTTTTTTAATATTATAAAAACAATCTTAAAACCCCAATCATTTGCATGGGATAGAGATTGCACAAAAGCCGCACATTTTTTTTATTCTTGGGAAAAGACTTTTCTCAGGTAAAGTATTAAAATCTTTATCCAAAACGTAAAAGTTTCACGTTCGATTTTGAATTAGAGACGTTCAAAATGATGAATCAACGTCGACTATAACACCTAGCCTTCCCAAACATTTCCTTAAAAACAAAGAGTAAGTAAGGTGACCATGTCCGAGAAGATGCAAGAGAATGTCGGGACCAACATGTCTCGAATTCTGGGCATGGATCATTACAAATGGTATTAGAGTCATACCTCTCCTACTAAGATGTCGTTCGAGGACGAACTAGGCAAAAGTTGGTGGGTATATTACACTCAAGTAAAGGAAGGGTACATCTGAATGAGAGCGGTCCTAGGGATAGGATGAAAAAAAAAAGTTCAAAGGAAGTGAAAGTTACTACTTGTATTAACAAGGTGCGTCTTTCTTTTCGGTAGCTCAATAATAAGAATCTTCATGGTTAAGTGTGCTTTTCTTGGAACAATTCTATGTTGGGTGACATCTAGAAATTTTCTTGGGATGCATGTGAGCGAGAACAAAAATATGCGGGAAGAACTTGTGTTGGTATGTGAAGGTAGTTCTCATTCTTAAGAAGCGAGAAGTAGGTAACATAACCATGTTGCAGGAGAATGTCAGAGCCAATAGGTGCTGAATTTGGATTTCGAATCTTAGACATGGGTCGTTACGTATTTAGTGAGCGGTGAAGGACAGTCGAATAGCGGTAGAAACGACCGACTATGTCAAGTATTCGAGTCGGTAAGCCATTGTTTTCCTTAAATTATCGGTTGAAACCATACACAAAAAAGTTTGTGTTTTGGCAATGATCTCACGATCATCTTCTAGTGTAAGTTTTCTTGCCATCATGACGTTAGAACCAGAGCAATTAGTGAGTGACTACCGTCAAAGAGGAGTCCGAGAGCAAGTTTGTGTTTTTGGCACTGATCCCACGACCATCTCCTTGTGTAAGTTTTCTTGTCGTCATGACCTACGAGAGAAGACGAACCAAAGAAATTAGTGAGCGATTGTTGTTGGAGAGCAAGAGGAGGTAGAGCGAAAAATAGGAGAGAGAAAGGCACCAAAAATTGTAATGAGTCGAGTAAGGAAGAAGAAACTTGCAGGTTCAAATTCGGGTCGATTGAGTCTGAAACCTGTCATCTAATGTCCTCGCTAGCACACCGCCCGGAGTCTAGCTCTGATACCATTTGTAATAGCCTAAGCCCTTCGCTAGATGATATTATCTACTTTGGCCCGTTTCATATCGCCTTCAACCTCACGGTTTTAAAATGCATCTTCTATGGAGAGGTTTCCATACCCATATAAAGAATGTTTCGTTCCCCAATCCAAACCGTGAGGCTGACAGCAATACATAACAGGCCAAAGCGGACAATATATGTTAGTGATGAGCTTGGGCTGTTATAATGGTATCAGAGAAAGTCACGTAACGGAGCGAGGCACTGGTCAGAGTAAGGCTAGACCCTCCCCATAGTAGACGCATAATGAGAAAGCCTAGAAGGGTAAGCCCAAAAACCTTGTACAGAAGCACAAAATGGAAAACCCAAAACAGATAATATCTCCTAGTGGTGTGCTCGGACTGTCACAACTGGTATCAGAGCCAAACACCGGGGGGTGTGCCAACAAGGACATTAGGTCCCCAAGGGGGATAGATTATGAGATCTCACATCAGTTAGAGAGGGGAACGAGTGCCACCAAGGACGCTGAGCCCTAAAAGATGGTAGATTTTGAGATCCCACGTCAGTAGGAGAGAGAAATGAAGTATTCTTTATAAGGGTGCGAAAATCTGTGGCTAACGGACACGTTCTAAAAATGTTGAGGGAAAGTCTAAAAGTGAAAGCCCAAAGAGAACAATATCTATCGTGGTGGACTTAGGTGGTAAAAATACATTATTATCCATTAGTACTACACCTTTAGATACTATTCCTATAACCATGGGCAAAGACTACGAGAATATTAGTATCGAATTACAAAACGAAAAACACACTCGAGCACTCACCAAATGTCTCGTACACCCGAATACCTCGTCAAAATTAAGTTCTAAATGAAATTAAAATTTAATTAATAGTTTAACTAGAAGAGAATTTCACCAAATTCACCAACACACCAACTAGTTTAAATGGATGTCTGCTTGAGCTAAGGATTTGGGCGTTGGAAAATTATGCTTATAACCCAAAACTTGTGGTTGAAGTTGCTTAATATGGTTGATGGGAGGACATGGTCTTTTGCGAATTTCTCCTATATTTGGTTTATATGTCTTCCGTTTCTCTTTTATACGGTGATTCTCTCTTTGTTATAAATCTCTCTTTTCCTGTGTTCTACCCTCTCGGGAAGGGAAGGAAGCAAAAGAATAGGTCGCAGATGATGGTCCTGGTAGGTTCAAGGATCTTACGCAGTGGAATGAACTCCTCTATAATATTTCATTACCTCTCGTGGACTCCCTCAATCCATCGTACTGGAGTGAAGAACGATTAGAGTCATATTCTATTCTTTATACAATGTTCATAGCGGAAGTATTTTGTTTCAAATCAGTTCTTCCTTGCATTCACTTTGATCCACTTCCTCGATGAAAAGCAAGTTCTTACCACTTTGATCACTTTGTTTTGGAATGCAATTTTGGAAGATTTCTATCTACGTACAAGAAAGATGATGAATTGGAAAGTTTTGGAGACAACTTTGGAGCTTAGAAGATAAATTTTTGAAGTTCGAGATCATGAAAATAATGTAAGAGATAGGATATCGCCTCACAAACACACAAATAATACGCTAAGAATACAAAATAACTAAAACTAGATTGAAACCAAAGCATGTTAGTGGTGTTGGATCAAGATCGACGTGAGAGATAGTAGCCATACACTCCGGATATGGTTTGGATAATAAGGAGCACAAAACCGATAATAGCAGAAAGAGCAGAGATAATGATCCACGGACTTTGAAAGCTGACATTTTTTAGAGTCGTCCACCATATTCTCCATGGCCTCTTACAATGCTTGTTCACCGAATAGTAGACATAAGCGTATTTGTCCCACATGCTTAAAACCGTGCCTTTGGCCAGCTGATTGAATGAATTTACCTCATCTTTCTCCAGTAGATTACCCATCAAGATGACGAAAGAGCCTACTACGTTATCAATCTCAACAAGCTTCTCAAATGTCATCACGTTCAATAAGCCTGATTCAATGTTAGCATTCATTTCGATGAACGGGAGGCTCAACACACCTTTGTTTTCATCAAAATCCACGTCCCCAAGGTTACACCCTTTCTTGAGTTTGATCCCAACTTTATGGAAGCGTCTGGCTAGCTGAATCTCATGACCCATTCCCGAGTAGCTGATTTGAAGTAGATTCTGTTCATTCCCCTTGTGAAACCGCAGTTCTGCCCTATACATATCCAGAAGGTGCGAGTAGTCTTCCTCCATTAACATGCTCTTTGTGGGTAAGTCCATGGACTTCCAAACAAGCGATTTGACCTTATGTGGATGCAAATGATCAAACATAATTATATTAGTTAGAAGCAATAAGATAATAAATAATATAGTACTAGTGTAACGACCTAAGTCCGTCGCTAGCAGATATTGTGTTTTTTGGACTTTCCCTTTTGTGCTTCCGCTCAAGCTTTTTAAAACACGTATGCTAGGGAGAGGTTTCCACATCCTTATAAAGAATGGTTCGTTCCTCTTTCCAACCGAAAACCTCTTCCTAGCAGGGAAGCTCGAAAATGAAAGCTAAAAAAAGATAATATCTACTAGAGGCGAGCTTGAGCTAAGTAGAGATAGACATACTTGGATGTTCTCTTTCATTAACATGGAATACAGCTGGTCAAGAAGCTTCATGGGCAGCTGATTCTCAAGCAGCAACATATCTCGCAATACATCTTCAAGCTGAAATTTCCATAAATGTGTATGATCTCACAAGACTTGCAATATAAAGCAACCATCCAAGATCATGAGCTCCAAAAATTTGGCTGGTTTTGTTTTCCATACATCATCAAGTTTATCATACGATCTCTGTAGATCTTCCAACATATCCCACACCTCATTCACCATGTCTTTAATGGACAATCCGAAACACCTTTCAATGTCGTGAAGTGCAAAAAATTTAATCTTCTCCATAGGCAACAAATGCAGTTCCCCATGGTGATATGGCCCGAACGATACCCGCTGTGGTTTGAATGCGTTTGGATTAACCTTCTTTATATGCTCTGATATTCTATAGATTGAACCTCCATCGTCTTTTCTTTCAAAATGATATGGAAGATTTGCCAATTGGGATTCTAGAGATTGGACCACTCCATCCTTGCTCTATGGTGACACCTCCATTACTCGACCCACTAATTTGGTACTAAAGTTTACGATATGTATCATATTTGATTAATATTTATAACATATCTTTAGTTTACTTTGCTTGACACCCAAGAATTGTCTCATTCAAATTTGCACATTTCTCTTTTCCTTTACTTACTCAATTTAATTATTATCATTCAAATTTATTACTTACTCAATTGAATTATTCTCATTTAAATTCTCCCCTTTCTCTTTTCCTTTCTTACTCAATTTAATTATTTTCAGTCAAATTAGTTTTTTCGTTCTTCCATTTTTCATCCTTTTATTTTTAAGGTAATGTAACCATTGAAAAAAAAATGTTCGTTGGAGAATTCGCGAGAACTTTGACGAGTCGCCTGAGTTTTGGGAGCCCTAATCGTTTACACGTTTTGCTCCTCATATTTCAATCCATTCAATCGTGAACAATTGAATATCTCCTCATTCGAGTCTCCGCCCCACATATTTTTGAGAGAGTGAAGTTTCATTAACTAATGATCTTCTTCATGGAGCTCATCGGTGAACCTCGAATCTACTATGTTACACCCGAGTAAAGGAGGGATACTTGAATGAACTGAGAGCACATCTGAAAATGATCTTGAGAATAGGATAACTAAGAATGACTTAAAGGAAAAAAGTTATTATCTACACGGACAAGGCACATGTCATGACTCGATAAAATAGGAGATGAAAATCTGATAAAATTTAAAGCAAGAAAAAGGAGTCAACGACACGAAAATTAAATATAAAATTAAAGTCAAATATTACAAACTAGAAATACAATTATGAAAGAAAATTACAAAAGACTCTCAAAGACCGACAAGGGACTAACGCTCCGGAACGACACCCCTCTATGACATTGCAGCTCTCGAACACCTCCCCACCTCAATCGGTACCTGAAAAAAAAAAAAGGGGGAAATGGGGTGAGTATAAAAATATACTCAATAAGCAACCTAATTGTAGGCTCTTAATCACATCAAGTTTAGGAGAGAACCACCAACTATGCTTCAGACCCTAGAGTCTATGGCTTCAGACCCTAGAGTCTCAGTACTCTCAGTACATAGTTCGAGGTGGAATGACTTAACCTTTGAAGCGGTATTCCGCGTTTGAGAATGAGGTGCTCTCTCATAACTATATGTACCCCTCGTACAACCCAGCTAGAATTAGTCACTGCATGGTCAACGTCCTTCCATAGGACGGACTCATCATGCAGGCGACCTTGACCCACCCGTGTGATCATCATCTTACCATAAGATGGATCCCCATGTAGAGTAGTCGATCTACCACTGAGTAATACTTCCCTAACAGGCGTCTCGCCAACCTCAACAATACCACACTAGAGTAGGAAGGGAAGAGTAACACCTCCCTAACTGGTGTCTCGCCTAGCTCAACAGTACTATACCGGAGTAGGAAGGGAAGTGGAGTATACTCGAATGCTATACCAGCTACTGTCGGCTAAGAGGTCATCTCTCTACACCTCAGGGTCCTAACGTGGTTCTCTATGTCTCAAGGGTAGGTAGAATATAGAGTTAGGGGCCCTGGTTTCCTGAATCAATCAATCAAGACTTACAAGTCCATAATAGTCCAGGGTTAAAGGGTCTCTCCCTCTAAGCGTCGCTCACGACACCATATAGTATAACATTAGGAGGGTCCCCTATCTAAACCCAACTCAATCCCTACAATAGTACACCCTCGGCATAACACAACACTACAACTTATCATTCTTATCATAAGTTCACACAATCATTCAACAGGAGTTTATGTATGATTAACAACGCATATAGTCATACAAGCTCAACGAAGCGATATCATCCATCAACACCCGAAGGGCAGATACACAATTTCTCCTGTCCGCAACATGGTATGAACAAATAAAAGCAGTAGTAAGATAGTCCAACAAGCATACAAACATTGAATATGAAATATCATTACGACAATAAGACCACATATATATATATATATAACTTCATAAGTACGGAGAATCATTAGATCTAACCACCTAGGAGTAATTTGCTCTAGCATGCATGGAAAACCAAACGCACCCTACAAGTATTACTTCCTAATTCCGTGTGGTTACTTACAGGAATGAAGCATGCCCTTCGAAGCTTACTTTTCGGCTAATTAAGAGCTCCAAAACTGTTGAAAGTTCGTCATTGGTCCTAAATCAAGTTAAACTTAGGTTAGTATCAAAACCGGGATGAAAAATAGTCGAACAGAAGTCAAATCGGGATAAAAATAGTCTGCCGTGCTGGTTCACCCGCCCCACGCACCGGAATATTTCCCACGGGCACAGACGCGCTTGTACGGACACACTGCGGGGATAGAGTCGCGCGCTGATGTGTCGCCACGTGGCGGGGTCTGACTAGTCCACTGAGAGCCAGGGCATGCGTTCAAATCTGGGTGCACGCGGGTTCCTACGATTTTTCCCACGCTGACGCGTGGTGAATGCGGGACGGGTCAATTGACGGGTTCAGGTCGCGCGCGGGTTCACGGGTTCTGGTAGCGGGCGCTGGTCTTCAAACCCTACCTGGCGCAGTATTTTTTGTAATTTTCCTCCACCATTCCACGCGCTGACACGTGTCATTTTCTGACGCGTCACTCCCCCGTTTGTCTTCTTCCTCTCATCTCTACGATGTTCGAGAAAACCGATTATTTTCTATTTTCTTTGCATATTTAGTATTTCTTTCTACACAACTCGGATTAACGTGATTCCTTCATGAGATTTGTAGACCTCATATCACGTGAAAGAATTTCTACTTGTAATTTATTTCTAACCACAGATATAATAAACTTAGTTGAAAATTGGCAAGAACGTCAATACTTACATCTTGGGTGAAAGCCGGAACTCCTATTTTCAATCTGAATCGATCAAAACTTCCTTCACGGATTATGAGCGCACTGCTCTCTAGATTAATTTACTCAAATTTCAGAATCTAACTCTCAATATTTCTCACAGATACGAGGAAAATCCGAAAACAAAGGTTCAAGAACTTATCTACAAATGTTCTTCGTTCTTGATGGTTTTGAACGATTCAAGGGTCCAAAAAGTTTCCTATAGGTTCTATTAAGGATTTGTGAAGAAATCTCGGCCGAAATCGGACTCCTCATGGCCGGATCCGAAGTGACGGTTAAGCCTCCTCTTAAAGAACCTTCTTTCTCTCTCTCTTTTCTTTTTTCTTTTTCTTTTTCTTTTTCTTTTCTTTTCCTCTCTTTCCTTTCTATTTTTATTTCTTTCTTTTATTTTCCCTTCTTTCCTTTCCTTTTTTATTTCTTTTCTTTTATTCCTCTTTTACTATCCTCATCTCTAGATCCTCGATAAAATCTCTGAAGTTCAACTTAAAAGGGAAAACTTAGGTTTTAAGTTTGTCGTCGGGGTTCGGGTATTACAGCACACTTTCTTTTTAGCTGATTCGATAATGAAAATTTCATGATTAAACGTGTTTTTTGTAAAGCAATTTTATGTTGGGTGAAATTTTAGAAATTTTCTTTAATAAAATCCCCCAATTATATTAATGGAGATAAGTACATTATAAAATTATATATATAATTGAAAAAAAGATTAAAAGAGTTATAAAAAAATAATAATTGTAACGACCCTAAATTTCTACTTATTCTGAATCGTTACTAATGTCTCATGTTGTGTTAAAATGGGGAATCTAACTCTTAAAAGAAAACACAATTTAAATGTTGAAAATATTTAAAACATCTCCGGTCTCTCGAAAATACAGTCATGGTCTTACGTGTTTAAATACGAAATACAGAGAAAATAAAAATAAGTACAAAATAATTTAAAACCATAAAATGCAAAACAACCTATTCTAACCTTAAGACTAGGAATTTAAATATGAGTCTATTCTATGCATGTGTCACCGTCTCTGCTCACGATGTCGCTGCCCTCCGTACATGTGCGCTTTAACTTTACATGAAAAATGATGTGACACACAGCCTGAGTATTTCGAAGAATACTTAGTAAGTGGCCCCACTATAGGGGTCATGCAAGTGCAAATACATGTCATCATGCTCTTGGGACCTTTCTCTATTCTCTACGGGTGGCCTCCAGTCTCAGACTAATATGAATGTGTAGTACTTCCCTACACATAACTCACACGTGCGAGTGTGAATCTCTAGGGGGCTCGCATATCCCCTGGACCCTCTCTGGTCAAGCTAATCTATAGCGACGTTTTGAGGTCAGTGCAACCCCTTGATGTCTTGCTCCCCATGACCACCCTCATCATCATACTATGCGTGTTCACACTCATCGTCTTTGGGGAAGTATTCCTATGCTTATGAACATACATTATGCATGAGGTCCCTCTAAATGTCATCTTATCATCTCTTCTGACACAACCCTCTAGTCTCATCTCTTTATTACATTAAGTAACACATGCTCATTGGATATTTATATTAATATCATTTTCATGCTCTTAGGATTGTGTCCTATGTCGGTCTATTGACATGATGCAATATGGCATTCATTATCATATAGCATGCTTAATATGAAAAACATCACCATATTAAGACAAACGTCATGCAATCATCATACTCATCATATCGCCATAAATTGCATCAAGCATATCAAGTACGTCATATATCAAACTATATATATTATGCACATCATCAAGCATCTTAACTCAAGCATCATAACTCATACATCATCATATACTAGTATACGACATCATACGATACAGCTCATACATCATCATAGCTCATACATCATAAATTGTAACTCATACAATTTCTAGCATATCCTATGGTGAGGCCACTTACTTGGTTGGCTTTAGCCACATTTCTATCTAGCTCCAAATTTGCTTGATTTCATTATTTGAATTCGTTCTCACTTATATCGAGGTTTCACCTATTTTAAACATAAACTTAATTGACTCAACAAGAATCGAATTCCACGTTTTCATTGTTTCTAATTGTTCGATAGTAAAAATTAAATTAAAAATATGTCAATATTATTTCATGTTGCTTGAATCATTCCGTCCAAATATTGTTTGTTATAATATTTTATTCTCTAGGGAAGAATAATAAAAAAATGAAAATTGTGGATTTAGAGAAATTAATGTTTTTTTAAAAAAAAAAATGAAAATGGACGTATGAAATATAGGTTTATATAACATGCACGTTTAGAATAACATAATTTTTATTATAATTTGCATGTTAAAAATATTTAAAAGCTAAATTAATAAAAATATTTATAAATTTTGTAGCAATCCTACTATGATAAATTTCAATAATACCTTTAAACATCATTAATATAAAATTAATTAAAATATTTCTTAATAGATTTTCATTTATTAACGCTAAAGTACTCAATTATAAATTTATTTTTATACTGCATAAAACCGGTTGTGTTTATGAATATAAATCCTTCGAGAGTTATGCATAATTACAGCGGTATCCAACCATAAACTAAGTTCCTTTAGTGCTAGTTAGAGGGTGCGACCCCATTGTTCGATTCTCGAAATCAATACGTAACAGAACTACTAAGCTACTCCCTGTTATGGGAGAGAGTGAATTCCATCTTGTATGATTATGTTTCAACTCCCTATTTGGTCAAGTCTCCAAAATGATTGACTTATTAAATTAACTATAAAAGTCATTCTTACTTATACGAATAAAAGGACAAACCTTTACAGACCGGAGTTCATAACTCACTCAAGATTAAGATTTAGTCGCATATGATCATTATGTGAAATATTAATTTTATCCATATACTATAAACCTTTTAGATTTTTACTTGACCATGATTCTATTTTATGTCAATTGCATACTATTCGAGTTTATAATAACATTGGATTTTTCATACGGTGAATAATATTAAATTTAAAATAAAATAATCAAAATTATTATTAAAAGTTATAATTAATCACGGGACTTTAGAGCATAAACCCTGACCATAACTCTTGATATAACTTCCACGTACAAAATTGAGTGGTTGTACAAAAAGTAAGTCACACCACTCTTGGTACAATTTTCATGTGCACAATAGACCACACAACTTTTGTCACAAGTCATAATGGATTTCTTTCTCATGTATTAATATGACGAGTTAGACTTAGGGGCATTCAAATTGAGTTTTGGGGTTAGATCGGGTTGACCCTCAAAACCCACTTGTCAAAGTAGGAGCCTCGACTTCTAGTCCAAGTTCATCTCACCCTCAGTCCATGTGGATTATGGAGTGTGGTTTAGGTCAAGGTTTTGTTTGTTTCTTAAAGACAATGCGTGGGTGCTACCGTGCTCAAGCCAAAGACAAAGCGAGTAATGTTGAAATGCTACATAAAGCGTCGTAACACTACAAAAATGACATGTGATTCCAAACGTTCCTCCAAAACAAGTGCACACACCTCTTCTTTTTTGTTTATAGTGTTGATATGCAATGGACAACGTCTCAATGAATTGCATGATGATGGGAAATTCTATCACACATTTTTTTCTCTACACGTATATCTTGTTTTAGAATGCAATTTTGGAAGATTTTCTATGTACATACCAGAAAAATGATGAATTGGGAAGTTTTGGAGACAACTTTGGAGCTTAGAAGAGAAATTTTGAAGCTCGAGATGGTGAAGATAATGTTAGAGTAGGATATCACCACACAAACACACAAATAATACGATAAGAATACAAAATAACTAAAACTGGATTGAAACCAAAGCATGTGAGTGGTGTTGGATCAAGATCGACGTGGGAGATAGTAGCCATACACTCCGTATACGGTTTGGATAATAAGGAGCGCAAAACCGATAATAGCAGAAAGAGTAGAGATAATGGTCCACGGACTTTGAAAGCTGACATTTTTTAGAGTCGTCCACCATATTTTCCATGGCCTCTTACAATGCTCATTCACCGATTTGTAGACGTCGAAGTGGTGGCCCCACATGCTTAAAACCATACCTTTGGCCAGCTGATTGAATGAATCTACCTCATCTTTCTCCAGTAGATTACCCATCAAGATGACGAAAGAGCCTACCATGTTATCAATCCCAGAAAGCTTCTCAAATGTCATCGCGTTCAATAAGCCTGATTCAATGTTAGCATTCATTTCGATGAACGAGAGGGTCAACACACCTTTGTTTTCATTAAAATACAAGAAATCAAGGCCACACCCTTTCTCGAGTTTGATCCCAGCTTTATGGAAGCGTGTGGCTAGCTGAATCTCATGACTCGTTCCCAAGTGGCTGACTTGAAGTTTACTCTCTCTAGACGACGTGTCAACCTTCAATTCCTGCCTATACATATCCAGAAGGTGCAAGTAGTCTTTCTCCATTAACGATTCGTTGGATTCCCAAATAAGCGATTTGACCTTCTGTGGATGCATCACAAGCCGTGTTTCAAATGATCAAACATAATTATATTAGTTAGAAGCAATAAGATAGTACTAGTGTAACGACCGAAGTCCATCACTAGCAGATATTGTTCTCTTTGGACTTTAGACTTTTCCTTTCGTGCTTCCGTTCAAGGTTTTTAAAACACTTCTTCTAGGGAGAGGTTTTCACACTCTTCTAAAGAATGCTTCGTTCTCCTCTCCAATCGAAAACCTCTCCCTAGCAGGGAAGCTCAAAAAAGACAATATCTGCTAGAGGTGAACTTGAGCTAAGGAGAGATAGACGTACTCTATCATCATCTAGCCTTAACATGGAATACAACTTGTCAAGAAGCTTCATGGGCAGCTGATTCTCAAGCAGCAACATATCTCGCATTATTTCCGTAAAGTAGACACTCAATTTATGGATACCAAGCAAAAGGGCAAACAACACGAAATAACCATCCACGATCATGACCTCCAAAAATTTGTCTGGCTTTGTTTTCCATTCATCATGAAGTTTATCATACGATCCCTGCAGATCTTCCAACATGTCCCACACCTCATTCACGATGTCTTCAGTGCACAATCCGTAGCACCTTTTAAAGTCTTCAAATATTAAATGTTTTTCTTTCTCCATGGGCAACAAATGCAGTTCTCCATGGTGATATGGCCCGAACGATACCAGCTGCGGTTTGAATGCGTTTGGATTAACCTTCATTATATAGTCTGGTATTCTATAGATTGAAGCTCCGATGCCTTTGCTTCTAACACCAACATAATGATTTTCCAAATGGGAATCCAAATTTTGGGTAGTAATCCTGACCATCGTATGCTTGTCATGGAGTGGTGGCATCTCCATTACTCTTATGACTACCCTTTATTACAAGTGTACATATATAAATATATATATATATATATATATATACACATATATATATATAACAGATCCTTTGCTTTACACCCAAAAATGTCTCTTTTCCTTTGCTTACTCAATGAACTATTCTCATTCTCTTCCGGTTTGCTTTCTCAATTTAATTATTCTCATTCCCTAAAATTAATAAAAATATTCTTAAAAATATCTATAAATTTTCAAAATTTTCTATAATATTTTAAACTTAATTTTTTTTTTTTTTATAAAAAATACTAAGTTTAAAAAAGTTGGATTAATACCCTTAAAATATTTTTTTTATAAATTTAATTATTCTAATTCCTTAAAATTAATAAAAAATACTCTTAAAAATATCTATAAATTTTCAAAAATTTCACAAATATTTTAAACTTAAATTTTTTTTAAAAAAAATACCTATAATTTTCAAAAGTTTCATTAATACCCATAAAACATTTTTTATAAATATAAAAAATACCTTTGCTATTAGTACCACGTTTCAAAAATACTTAAAAGCTTTCGAAAGTAACATTAAGAAATTTGGAGATAACCAATGAGATATCGGTACATGGTTTTCATCTAGACAAACTCATACATCATCATATATTAGTATACGACATCATATGATACAGCTCATATATCATAAATTGTAACTCATACAATTTCCAGCCTATCCTGCAACTTATTTGGTTGACCTTAGCCAAATTTCTATCTAGCTCCAAATTTACTTGTTTTCATTATTCGAATTTGTTCTCACTTATATCGAGGTTTCACCTATTTTGAACAGAAACTTAATTGCCTCCGTAAAAATCGAATTCCACGATTTCATTGTTTTTAAATTGTGTTTGACAGTAAAACTTAAATTAAAAATATGTCAATACTATTTCATGTTGCTTGGATCATTCCATCCAAATATTGTTTGTTATAATATTATATTCCGTTCGTAAGGATAATAATAATTTCTCATATCTTTTATTTATTTATTTATTTTTGTCTCTAGGTTGTACCACTCTATTTTTATATAAAACTTATATTTTACCAATATATAAGGTAATATAGCTAAAATATTTTAAATAATTTTATTTTAAAAGACATTGACTTCAAGAAAACTAGCCAAAATAATTTTACAAAACATGAGGTCTTTACATTGTCAAAAATAAAAAATAAAAATAAAATAAATAATAATAATAATGCAAAATGTATAATAACATAATTTTTATTTTTATTTGCATGTTAAAAATATTTAAGAGTTAAATTAATAAAAATATCTGTAGTGGTTTAAAAAATAATCCTTTGAACATCATTAATATAAAATTAATTAAAATTTTGTCATTTCTTATATTTTTCTTTGTGCTTATCCAATTTAATTATTCTTTTGGCATTTATTTATCTTTTCCTTTCCTTACTCAATTTAATTATTCTCACTCAAATTTCACCATTTCTCTTTTCGTGGGCTAACTCAATTTAATTATTCTCATTCTCTAAAATTAATGATAATATCAATAAATTGAAATATTTTAAATTTTTAAAAAAATTTAAAAAGAAACTTCAAAAACACATTTAATTTTTTTAAAAAACTTTAAAAATACCCTTAGGGTTATTATCAGATTTCAAAAATTCTTATGAACTTTCAAGATAATATTAAAAAATTTAGAGATAATCAATGAGAGATCGTTAATGGTAAAAAAATTTAAACTTTTTTTTTTTTGTAAAGGTAAATGACGTTAATGTTACTTTTAAAAGTGGTATTTTTTAAATACAGTACTGATGATAAGGATATTTTTAAACTTTTTATAAATGGAAGAGTATGGTTAGAAACTTTTTGAAATTTAAGGAGACTTAGATTTCAATAAAGTAGAGATTTCCATAGAGTAGAGATTTCCATAGAGTAGGGAGGTCGAAGATGATTCATTTTTTTGTTCTTCTATTTTTTAGCGTTTTATTTTTAAGGTAATGTGACAGTTGAAAAATCAAGTCGACAACCAAACCACCCAACCTCGCCACAAAAAGGATTCCTGATGACTGGACATCCACTTAAGGTACGTTTTGTGCCCTTTTCATGCCAGTCTCATTGGTAAACGGAGTTGGGCTTTCGGTTTTTCCTAAACTTCTCTAGATCAGGAATTATAGGCACAGTTTAGCCAAGAGACTCCGGAAAAAGAAGGAAGGTGGTAAAAGGAATCTTGATGATTGGACATCCACTTAAGGTACGTTTCGTGTCCTTTTAACGCCAGTCTCGTTGGTGCACGGAGTTGGGTTTTCGATTTTCCTAAACTTCTCTAGATTAGGAATTATAGGCACAGTTAAGCCAAGAGACTCGAGAAAAAGAAGGAAGGTGGTAAAAGGCACGATTTAAACAAACTTCAAAAACATTTAAACTTTTTAAAAAAACTTTAAAAATACATTACCTCAAAAATACGTTGGTTGATAATTAATGAGATATCCATAAGGGTAAAAAAAAAAAAAAAAAAAG